GCGAGTACGCTTCTAGTATATATATATATATAAAGCGTACACATAATTGCTTCCAAAATGAAAATGTGGCTTGTACGAAAGGGAAAGAGGTAGGGCCCAAAGCGAGTGAAATGAAGGGTCGTAATCATGTCCATAAACAACATTATCCGTACTCTCGTTTCCATTGTCTTTTAACTCCAATATCGTCTCCATTATTAACCTCATCCCATACCATCTTCTATGTCCTAAATTTAAATAAATACCATCTTCTTTGTCCTTTCAAAAATACCAATACCTTTTTGGGATGGTCATTTGCCCTGACCAGGTCGGATGAGCCAGGTTCCCCGCTAAAACGGGTCTTTGGATCCTTGGTAGACTCAAACCGCATTTGAGACTGAGGCCAGGTATTGTACCCGGGTATTACAATCTGATGGTTCACTTCTTATATGTATATATAACCCACACTCCCTATTACTAGAATCTAACCATTTTCTCTTTCTCTTTCTCTTGTGACCATCTCCAAAGAAAGAGGTGATGGGGTTGCACTTGGTGGCTCTTCTAGGGCTTTCTAAGCTTCATGGTGCACCATTTTTGGCAACCTTGGCATGCCCATTCATTCTAAAACTAGTATTGAGTTTGAGACCTTTTAAACACCTTATCATGACCGTCGTACATGATTCGAGGCTTTTTATTTTTCGGTTAAATCAGATAATTGCTTTTCAAGATAGAGATGAGCGTGAACGCGTGCTTGGTGGCAATACAAGAAGATGGGAGCAAATCATCCGATTAGTGCAAGAGATGTTGCCTGATGTCGAACAGTCGATGCCCTTTGCAAACTACGATCAAAGCTTGCAAGCTCTCTCCATTGCTGCCTTCTAAGGTGCTTCATTGAATTCATTTGTTACTTAATTATTAATAAAAATGAGGTTAAATATAGATTTATTATTGTGGGTTGTTTTTTTAGCATGAATGGGAACGAGAACAGATTCATCGCTATTATCAATGCAAAAAACATGGGTCGATTGGGCGTTTCGATAATGCTTTTTTCTAGCTTTTAATATCGATAGAGTACGTAATATGTAATATGTAATATGCAAAGCTTTCATATAATTTGAGTAAGAATACTGAAATTATTTTGTCAACTTTAAGCATATTATTTGAGAAAGTTTGTATTAATGTTTTTAAGATTAAACAAAATGCAGACGTTATTTTCTATTACTTTTACCTGTTTTAATTTCGAATGTCAAAGATATTCTTTTTAATTTAAATATCATATTACAATATAAATAAAACCAATAATTGCATAAAGACATATGCCGCAAGTATCACATCTAACTAGGGGTGCTCAAAAACCCGATTAATCCAACCCAACGCGAAATAACCAAATCCAAAGCAACACGATGTCTAATCGAGTTGTAAAAGTTTCAAACCGTAGGTATTGGGTTACTATTATTTGAACTCAATCCATCCCGATGAACCCGATATTCTTTTATTTCTTGAATTTAATATGATTGTTGAATTTATATTAATATATACATTAGACAATTACCCTATCATGTATGCTTTTCATATACACATATTTTCAATCTATTCATATCTCTATATAACTCATTCATATATATGTTCGGTAACTGTGAGCATGTATATATGAATTGAGAAAATTAACTGAATATGATATACGTAAGAAATATGGATAAGTTGTATCAAATGGTTGATGATGAAAAAGAAATTATAAGTATAGAAATAACATATTTAAGGTTAGAAGAATATTTTAATATACCAAAATATCAACCCGACCAACCCGTACGGGTTGGGTTGGGTTAGGTTAAGATTTTTCCAAACCGCAAGCATTGGGTTGGGTTGTTCAAATGTGTTCAACCCGATCAACCCAACCCATGAGCACCCCTACATCTAACCATCTAACCACAAGGGTGATGACTAATTGTCTAACCATAAGGGTGATGACTGATTTATTTGAGTTTGACCTCTAAAAGTCAAAAGTGCCTGGAGGTCTAGGTTCAAATCCAAGAAGGAATGAAAATCCTCTTGTGGCCACAGAGGTTCAAATGCGGTGACTCTAGGCTACCCTCAAAACAGGTAGTCGTCCTGGGATTAATCGGTTCACATAACAGGTTAGATATCCATGTTAATAAGGGAAAATAATCAAATCTAACATCAAATATTAAAACAACACAACTACTTATGTCTAAAGATAATTTGGATTTTTTTTTTTAAATTAGATAAATTTGTGGACTTTTAAAACGTAATGAATCTATTCATATGATGACGGTAATGCGAGTTTCCAAAAATCATTGAAGTTTCCATTTTTATTGTTTATAAGAGTAAAATAAGAATATTATAAAAACTGAAATTTTTTATATGTATTATTAAATTGTATTAACATCTTGTCTTAATATTCGTATTTAAAAAAAAAATTAAAGGGTTGTTTGACAATTGCTGAATGGTTTAGTGCAGAATGATTAAGAAGTTCTCATGATATAGTGCAAAAATGAAATATAATTGTTCAGTAATTGTTTATAATGTAATTAGGGTGTTGAATGGTTAAGGGAGGTCCATGATCCAAAACCATTCAGAGGATTTTATAACCATTAAGAGACAAAAATTTTTTTGCCAAACAAGGTTCATCTCTTAGCGATTCAGAGGCTGCCTCTTAAATGAGATATTAAGAGGTAAACAAACAGCTCCTAAGTCAAAATCTCGTGTTTCCAAAACCATGAAATAATCAAAGTGCTTTTCTCTTCGTGCAGTAAAGGGTGGAAAAATATAGAGTTGTTACATTGAATTTGAAGATGCACTTTGACATAAACACTGTTAGAAAACAGAGTATCAACGACAGTAATTAACGACGTAAAAAATCTGTCGCAATTCAATAACGGATCAATGACGGATAGGCCAAAAACCATTTTCCTCACAGATCAGTGACGAATTAGAAAGGGAATTGGTTTTTGGCCTATCTATCGCTGATCATCGAGGAATGTGCGAGAGAAATGATTTTTCAGTGAACGATCTGCGAGGGAAGTGGTTTTTGGCCAATCCCTCGCTGATCAGCGATGGATAGGCGAAAAACTAGTTCTCTAGCTAATCCGTTGCTGATCAGCAAGAGATCTGCAAGGGAAATGGTTTTTGGCCTATCTCTCCCAGATCTCTCGCTAATTAGTGACGGAAAGACCAAAAACCGATTCCCTCGGTGATACGTCGCTGACCAATGAGGGATAGGCAAAAAACTATTTCCCTCGCAGATCCCTAGCTGATCAGGGACGGATTAGCGAGATAAATGGTTTTTGGCTTATCCGTCGCTGAAAGGTTTCCCTCGTAGATCCCTAGCTAATAGGGATGGATTAGCGAGAGAAATGGTTTTTGGCTTATCCGTCACTGAAAAGTTTCCCTCGTTACTCCGTCGTTAAAAATGCTCATCACTAATCCGTCGTTGAAACATTTCCGTCGCAAATACTATTCGTGGCTGATCCATCACTAACTTCCGTTGTTGATAGCATTACCTACGAGCTTTTGATCAATGGACGATCAACGACGGATTATGCCTTTAGTGACGAATCAACGACGGAATTTTCCGTCGCTGATACTCCTCATTTTTTGTAGTGAAATCGGCCTCATCGAAAGTAAAACTTGTAATGAATTTTGTTATAATAAAAATAAAATTGATTCATCCTTTTCGGTAACCGAGTGTGATCGGATAAGTTTGTACACGCTTTGACTTAATCCCATGAATACTCAAAGATAACAAATAGGAAAATCCTCAATGATCCTGAAAAAGATTAACACCAACGACTTACAAGGAGTTTCAAGACTTAATATTTATTTGACACTCAATGAAATTCAAAGCCATTTCTTTTTTCATCGTTGACATGGTCTAAAGTACTCATCCTGTTGGATTTGGAAAGTAAAGTTGTTTAGCAGTTGGTGAATAATTTGATGAATGATGATTAAGTTGTCAGAATGATTAAAAGATTCTTATAATATAATATAAAACAAAATGTGATTGTTTGGTAAGTGTACATAATAAAATATAGTATAAAATGAAATATATTGCCTCTACTTAGATATAACATGTTATGTATGATGATAATGAAGGTCCTCAAATGGTGAAGACATATTGTCATGTATGCATGATGCCAACTTAACACCATCATTCCATGTCTCAATTATTTGTCTTAATAATAAGCATGTGCATTATATTGAGACTGAACATATGAATCTGCATACTTTTACTGATAACACATATTCAATCTGTAAGACATGAATCACAAGTGAGTTTTAGTTGAATCATCCACCTTAAAATGTTAAAAGAAGGAAAGACTCACGATCTTTGATAATAAAGATGTACATGTGAATTTGCATATCAAATGATTATTTAAGGTATTTAAAACGAATGTACATTCATATATGCATCTTCAACCAAGGGTTTCTGCCTAGTTAGATGATAAATATTTCGTGAATCACATGTGAATATTCAACTTGATTTGGGAAAAAAAAAAACAAATTTAGGAGATTTGGTTTTTTAGGTGTACAAGATTTGATTTTTTTTTTGTCCTTGTTTAAAATGGTTTGTTAATAAAATGCTAAAACAAACAAAACGGTAGTATGGTCATTTTTCCTCATACTTAACGGTAAAAGGTAGACGGATGTTCAAGTGAGAGACAAAATCTACACATTAAGGCCTCTTATGTTATACATGTTTTGTTAACTAAAACTCATTAACTCAACACCAAATTAGACCCCTAGAATATGTATTGGTATTATCGAACCTGTCTTTTTTAAACCATAAATAAAGAAGCGGACACACATACATATTTATGTATGTGTGTGTATGGGGGCTTATTCAAAGGAGAACTCAGTAATTTGTAATAACTTTGAGATACAATCTCATCATAATTAAAGGTTAAATTATAAAATTAATAATTATGATAATTTTAACTTAAAATATTAATTAAGGGTATTTTTGAGATTTTAAAAATCTCATCTTTTCTCTCTCCTCTCTCCGGCGAACTTTATTCCAAAAAATCTTATTCCAGCAAATCTTATTTCGACGAAACTTTATGTGAACACAACATACATATTGTAATACTTAAAAAACATATATACAAACGATATTCATTGTGATATCTATATATACATATAAAAATAACAAAAATACACATTGTGATACTTTTTCTAAAGCAACAAAAATAACAAAAATTCATATTGCGATACACTTTACAAAACAACAAAAACACGTTATGATACATTGTGAACATTATCACTGTGATACACTTTAAAAAATAATAAATTTCTAGAAGTGTCGCCAAGTCACAACCAAAAAAGTCTCTCAAAATTAATTAAAAAAACTTAAAAGTCGCTCGAATCAATTGAAAATTTTAAAAATCCATCAAAACAGTGAAAATAATTTTGCAGGTCATTAATCTACCTTAAAGATGCCTCTACTATGTACAAATTTTGAATCCATCACCGTTTTTCCCTTATATTATAATACATTATAAATAATTTTTTATTATCATATTTATCATGAATAAAATTATTAGATTCGAAAGATTATTAGTTGTCTTTGATACCAATGTTTGCATGGCGTCTATAAGTTTGCACGTGTTCAAAATTTGGTTGAATCTGTTTCAAATTCATAAACTATTGGGACACCATACCACCTTTTTTTTTTGGTTAGTGTGGTTTACCAAACACTTACTCGGTAAATGTTTATCGGTAAAGTTTAAAATTATCATTTACTTACCGGGTAAGATTTTAATTCACTAAGATAATATCGTATGCAACAATTTACCCTGTAAGCTCTTACCATGGTAAGAGTCATCGCCCGTTCTTACCGGGTAAGACTCTTGGTCCTTGTCTCGTTCTTACCGGGTAAGATTCTTGATACTTACCATATTCATCCGGTAAGGTAATATGTCTTGGTGTTTACTTACCCGAGTAAGCGTTTGGTAAACGGCCCCTTAATTACAAAATACACCAGCCAATTGTTTTTGAAAGCAAACCTAGGGATTGTTTGCTTTGTTTTTTAATTAATTCTTGTATGGATAAACTTATATACGTAAAATAACCTGTCTATATAAATTCAGAAATTTTTTACTTGAAAGAGTTTTTTCATACATATAAGACACGTCTTTTATAATTGGTAAAGACAGGTTTGGAAAAAATTTGTTTTCTACTTAAATTAAACTCCCCTACAAGTTTACTAAATAAGTATTTTCTATATCATTAATTTCACTATCAAAAAATCATGTATAACTGATCGAATAAGCTGTGAATCTCGTTAAATTCATGAAACTAGTTGTATCGTGCAACTAACTCCAATAAACAATTATATGTCTAAATTTCTTGATTACATTACAAATCATATAACAGTTTTACACAACATACACACATAACCGATCGTAAACTAGAAATCGTAAAGCGGATTGAAAAACAAAAGCATAGAATACATGCATTTATAAACAAGTCTTCATCACAAGTTCGTTCGTTTAACTAATATATGGCATTAGAACAAAACCTTTCCCATCTTATCACGATCATCTCTCCATCTCAAACCGTTGCAAGGTTCAGCATCCGTAAGCATCTTCACAACCTCCCTCATGCTCGGCCTCAGATTCGGTAGTTTTGTGGTACAAACCAAACCGATTTGCAAAACCTTCATCATGTCATCGGCTAAATCACCACTCTCGTCCTCCGAGATTAACATGGGATCAAGTAGTTGAAGGATGTTTTCACGATCCTTAAGGTTAGACAAAGCCCAATACACGATGTCCTTCCCTTCGCCATATCCCTCCTCTATCGCTCTTCTTCCCGTCACCAATTCCAATAACACCACCCCGAAACTATACACATCGCTCTTTTCCGTCACTTTCAGTGTGTATGCCAACTCTACAAAACAAAAAAATCATCAGTTTACATCGCTAACAATGGTGCTTATTTCAAAAAGCAGCTTATTGGCCACATAAGCTCAATTTTGAAGGGTAAAAAAACATGTTTTTGCTTGTGTTGTTTTTGGATGTGGATCCCATTTTTCTTGAAAACCACACCCGTGAATGAATGCGTTTAGAATCACATGAAACTCACCGGGAGCAATGTAACCATGGGTGCCTACAAAACAGTTGGAGTCCGACCCTAAACAGCCGTCGTCAGCGAGTCTCGCCACCCCAAAATCAGCGATCTTCGGCTCAAAGTCTTTATCGAGCAAAATGTTGCTAGATTTGATATCTCGATGTAAAATAGCCGGAGTACAATCATGGTGCAAATAAGCGATTCCTTTTGCAGCCCCGAAAGCGATCTTGTACCTTTGAAACCAATCCAACTCGGGATCCCCATTCTTCACCACTCGGCTTAACGCCTCGTACAGATTCCCGTTAACCATATGCTCGAAAACCAAATAGCTAGAACCCCCTTTCATCAAACAAGCATAAAGTTTCAGTATGTTCCGATGCCTGATCTTCCCGAGGATTCCGGTTTCTGCTGTCATGACTTGCACCTGGACCCCCTTCCCGATCTGCTTCACCGCAACCGTTAACCCTGACTTTTTCAACTCCACCCGATACACTTTTCCAGTACCTCCAACTCCAATCAAGTTTCCTTCCTCCAAATCGCATAGTTCATCGGCATCGAATTCGATTTGATGGAAATTTTCGAGTTTCCACTTCGGATTTTCCGTCCCTTTCTCGTCGTCAAAACCATGTTTGTTGTCGGCTTTTCCTCGACGCATCTTAAAGTTTTTGTAAATTGCGTACATCAACCCTCCTAACACCGCGATCAAACTGACCAATATGACACAAAACATAAGTAGCTTGCTTTTGTTGATTTCGCGATGACGCTGTTTACCATCACAAACGTCCAGTTCCAAATTTACTTTCCTCCCGGAATTTTCGTTGACGCAGAGTCCTTCGTTTCCGGCAAAAGCATCGTCTCCTCCCATACTTAAAAGATCAGACGGAATTCTTCCGGACAAACGATTAATCGAAAGATCAATCAAGCTCAATTTTAAACGTTTGAGATTGTCGGGAATTTCACCTGTCAAGAGATTTCGTGACAAGTTCAGAGCATTTAGCGACGAAATATCAGCCAACCTGTCGGGAATTTTTCCCGTCAGGAAATTCCGGCCAAGATTTAAGTCCACTAGCTTGTCACATTCCCCCAGTTCGGGCGGAATTGAACCAGAAAATAAGTTGTTTTCGAGATGCAAGTACGATAACTGCATCACATTCTGAATTTCAGATGGGATTCTGCCGGAAAACTTGTTGTTCGACAAATCGAGCTTCTCAAGTTGACTCAGTTTCCCGATTTCTGACGGGATCTCGCCGGAAAAGTCATTATCATACAGTAACAGTTGAGTCAATTTGGTGGAAATTCCAATGGACGAAGAAATTTCTCCACTGAAATTGTTATCGCTCAGATCTATAAAATCTATAGATGGCAAAGCCCATAACCCATCTGGGACTTTTCCAGAAAATTGATTCAGACTGACTCTTAACCTTATTAAAGATTTGCATTCGGCGTAATTTTCCGGGAATTCGCCGGAAAATTCATTTCCAAGAGCTAACAACTTCTCCAGTTTGCCAGAGCCACACAAGAACTTTGGAAACTCGCCAGAGAATTTGTTCTCCGATACGTCAATGTCAACCAGAGGAGCAAACTTTGCAAAATTTTCAGGCAATGTTCCCAAGAAATTATTCCGGTAAATGGAGAAACCCTTCAGGTTTAGCATGTCTCCGAATCCTGGAGGAAGTACGCCGGAGAAATGATTCATGTAGCATTGAAAAACCGTCAAATTTTTCATATTCCCGATTCCGGTAGGCAGTTCGCCATGCATCTGGTTAGCGGAAATGTCAAATTCTTGCAAGAGGTTTAGCTCTGTCAACTCCGGTGGGATTGTTCCAGTTAACTGGTTCGCGAAAAGCTCTATTTTCCAGAGGTTTCGCAGCTTGGTGATTCCTACCGGAAAGTCGCCGGAAATGTTGTTGTTGGAAAGATCTAATGTTCTCAGTTCTTTCAGATCAAATATAGATTTCGAAATTTCTCCTGTCAATTGGCAACCTCCCAGATCAAGCCATGTTAAGTTCTTCAAATTCCCAATACTTTCTGGTATACCACCCGCGTCGAAATTATTATCGGCAAGACCAAGTGCTGATAAACCCGTCAAATTTCCGACCCATGTCGGGAAATCTCCCTTGAAATAGTTATCGGAAAGATCCAGAACCTCCAGTTTTGTGAGCTTCGAAAGATCCGGTAAAACACCGGTCATGTTATTTGCGGTCACATTCAAAACCCTGAGGTCGCTGCAATTGGCGATCGCGGCCGGGAGCTCACCGACGATAAAATTCGAAGGCATCACCAGAGATCTGAGGCTCTCAAGCGTCGAAATAGCCGGTGAAATCTTGCCGGAGAGCGATTTGTAATTCAATGAAATCTCCACCACCCGACCCGTTACATCGTCGCACAAAACCCCATAAAATCGACACGGGGAGCCTGCGGTCTTCCATGAATCCAAGTAATGGAAAGGGTCTTTGAGCTGTTTTTTGAAATCAAGCAGCGCTCGGACTTCAGCAGCCGAAGAAGAACAGAGCGTTGGCCGGAAAAAGAAGCCGACGAAGGAGAGGAAAAAGAAGGATACAGTTGTAATTTGGCGGGAAACAGATGCGACAGGTGGAGAGGTGTGTTTTGACATTTTAGAGATTCTGAGAGGGCAGTCTGGTCATTTCAGTGAAAGATGAGTGTCCCATTGAAGCTGGCAACTTCAATTATTGGCCACGGAGGTCTCTCTGTGTTCTGCAAACGAATTATATAATTACGTTATGGCCATCATTTCATTTCATATTTATAATCCAAAACCAACACATTTTTTTTCCAATCACACGATTAAAAAATTATTTAATTCGAAGGAAAAAAAATATTTTATATACATATACATATACACCATCTTTCTTGTTTTATTATAATTTATTATTATTAATAAAAAGAATTAATACGATGATTATTAAAATAAATGCATTATTATAAAGCAAGGTTTACTTTATTTATAAAGTATCATACAGACAATCAGTAATCATCATGATTCAAAATTTTGAATTAAGAGCTTAATAAATACCGTACGTTATTTTCATTTCAGATTTATTATTTATATAATTTTAACATGAAGTTGGTTTTCAATTATTACAAACTTCCAAATACCAAGAAATAATTGCATTTCCTATAGATTGGGTTTAGGGTTAAGTGTTTAACGGTAAAATTAGATCTATCACTTACCGCATAAGGTTATAGTCAACAAAACGACATCATATACAACAATTTACCCGGTAAACATTAACTATAATAAAAGTCGTGACTCTCACTTATCCGATTTGGTAAAAAAAAATCTCTAAATTATATAGTATATGCATATAGATGTTGGATTTACATGGGACACAAGAGGGATGGTGACATTGAGGGGTCACTATGGGTGTAGGTGTGGACTGCTTACTGATATGAGAAAATGAAAGATATCTACTTCAATTTTTGTGCGGATCTGATCGTTTTTTACTTTTTAACTTTTAATCAAGTTCAATAAATTAAACCTAGTTTTTGTTAATATTAATTAATTTATTTGTTTTACACGCTATAAAACAAAACATAACAAAACAAAAAACATGCTTTTAATATGATGAAGTTTAACCTTAAACAATTAGAAGCATTTGGTTCGATTATCTTTTTGTCATGATTTATGACATCATCTATGTTAAAAAAACTAACATATCGTAATTATATCAAGAATTGTTTTTAGATTCCAACTTTGTTAGGTGTAACGTTTGAAAATCTTATTAATGAATTCTCAAAAGTTAATTATTGACTTGTAATGATAATAATTTCAAATAAATAAATAAATTAACAAATAAAAAACATCATCCAAATCATAATTTTGAAAAAAAAAACACGTATGTAATTTGTTTTATAGATTATTAAAAACATGTCAGTATAATTTGAGCAATTGTTTATCTTGTTTTGTCTGGCAATAATTTACAAAAACTAAATATTAAATTAACATTTAGTAAAAATACAATTATATATATATATTATGATTTTTAAATTTACATTAGAGAAAGTACAACCCGTATTGCACAAAGTACAAGCCAAGTTAGCAATGACGGTTTAGGTTATCTGGATTTTCAAAACCTCTGATAATGGGATTAATGGCGCATAAGTACTTATCCACAATTCACACACACTCGAACTCGTACTTCCATCTTCATATATTCGAACAATTGGTAAAAAGAAACGAAAACACAAGCAGAAACTCAAGAACATAAAGAATTTTCACCTGGCGATATGGGATGTCTGTAACTGATTGATTCTTCAGAGGATAATCGAAAAAGCTTACTGAATACTGAGTCTGGTTCAGGCTCTGTATTAAGCCATCAAATCTGTTTAGGAATAAGAGAAAATCGTTTATGGGGATTGAGGAATGCCGATTTGAAGATGGAAAACATGAGAAAATTCGTTGGATTTGAGAGTATTGGGATGGATGATAGATAATGAGGTTAATTCAAGAAATCTTGGAAAACAGAGGGTTATGGGAGAGAAAAGATAGATGAGTTTATGAATAAAAAAAGAGTGGTGGTGGGTTGGAGGCAGGCCTACTCAAGATTGAAGTGAAAGAGAAGAGAAGAGATGAGACGAAACAAGAGACAAAGAAAGGGGTTCTGGTAATTTTGAGAGAGATTTCAATGGATATAGACAGAAGCTTCTTTATTCTTTCAATTCCATTTCAATTTTACATTTGAATAATTCTCTTATATATATATATATATATATATATATATATATATATATTTGGCTGATTTTGATTCCAACGTGACTGAGAAATAGTAATAATAGTCACGAGCAGATGTAGTAAGTTTATTACGTGTTGATATAAAACTTTTTCTAAGGTATAGATTCTTTTATGGTACCATTTTTGTGTAATGTGTTATGGTGTCGGTTTAATAAGTTTGATGGAATTATAAGCGGTATTTATTGTTTGATTTTGACTTAATATTGAATTGATGGCTTAATTCGTTAAGCCCACGCATGGAGGCTTTAGCCGTTTAGCTCAATATTTTTACCAATAATATTATTGATCAAGTATCGTGTGAGAATAGGAGTGGAAAATGGGATTTAGGCTCTTGATTAGTTTTAATACAAAAACAACTCATGAATTATGTTTTAGAAGAGAATTGATCTAGTGATTCTTTTCAAGTAGGATTAATTTAAGGATCGTTCTTACCCTTCTCACCATAACTTTCATCCTCCTTAGAACTCAACTCTGATACTACTTTTCTAATTAGACAATTTCATAAAGTCTATTTCTCTCCTAAACAATACATGAATTAAAAGTTGTAATCAAACAACATTTTTAAAAATATTATCGAGTCTTTTTTTTTATGTTTATTTTAAAAAAAAATACGAATTTTGTTTTCTATTCAAAATTCTCATACAAAACACTTATCAAACAACAATTTTTCATTCAACACTTATTTAGAAAAAAGTTAAAATAATAGTTTTTTGTTATTCAAATTAATTGTTTAGGACATAAAACAAATACCAATTGATCTTAATTCATTCAGACAGATCAATTCTTACAAACAGCTTAATAGATACAAAATTTAATAATAATAAAAATCAAATACCCGATAAATATTATAATCTATATATATATTAAAGAAGAAACCACTATGTATGATGTGACCTCTTCTAAAAGTTAGGAGCTTATTTATCTTTTTTCTCCTTTTTTTTGTTTTTTAAAATACTAATTAAGTTAAAGACTATTATGCCCCTACAAGCAAATTGTATATTTCATAATAGATGAGATCATTTGGTAATTTTGCATCCAACTAAGTTTAACCTTTCAAATTATTCAACTTTTTAATAAGCATTCAAGATAAGTTTAACCCCCTAGACTATTCAACTTCTTCTTAATAGACATTTATTTTATTTATTATTGCAATTGATTTACCTTCTCCAACTTTTTATCTCTTCATCTCTTTATTTCTCAATCTCTTCCTCTTGATATAGTTTGACATAAATT